CTTGCCACTGCTGGTGATCCCGCGGGCACCGCTGGTGAGCGCAACGTATCCACCTTCATGTGCGCTGGTGTATCCTGCCATGGCGGTATCGATGGAGAGGCCAATGCTGCTCCAGTCGCTCTCGGCGTCGGACATCCTCCAATCGGAATTCGTGGAGCTGCCATCGCCACTGGTGTACCTGGCCCAGGCGCGCCAGGCGGCGGTGGTGCCGTAGCGCCTGCTGAGAACCCCGTCGGCGCCGCCGACGACGCATGTGTCCCTCCCGTCCCAGTCGTACTCAGCATGCGCACCGAATTGATGAGCGTGCGCATGACGAGCTCATGGCGCTGCTGCCGCTGCTCTATGCTGGCCAGGAAGCTCACGAGTTCCTCGTTGATGTCCTGCTGCTGGTTCTGATGGTGCACCGCCTGCGCTGCCTGTTGCTGATGTGGTGGCGTTGGCGCCGTCGGCAGTGACATCGGCGTCACCACTGCCATGGGAGTTGGTCTGGTCGACGCCGCTGCCGCAGTGTTCTGCTGATGCCCCCCTGGTGGTACCACCGCCCCAGGTATGAGCTGGCCGCTGGAAGTGACAAGCTGGGCATGGCCGTGCATCTGGTAGTACCGGGTGCCCTGCTGGTGCGGCAACTCCTGCCATTAGCCAGGTGGTACTCCAACTCCATCTGCTCCATGCCCTGGTTCTTGTTGATCGTCCTGTAAGTGTTCCAGCTCGTTCATGCAGGACTCCAGCTGGGCGACATCCACCTCTATATTTCACTCTTGGGTGACTAAGTCCTTAGATATCGGGCCTTGCCGAGCTTCCAATTGACCTTCCTCGTTATTCTCGTACAGCCTGTAGTGACGCGAGCGCTCTCTTGTACACCATCACCTCAATGTCGTGCCGCTCCGCGTCTTTTGTCCTGTTCGCATTCTTGGCCCGGATGGCCATGTTCGCGATCCTCTCCATGTGGTTCGCATTCCTGTCTGAATGCCGCCTGGTCTGCTGCTCGTCTCAGGTGCGTCCTGTACGCCCGGTGAGTCCTCGCCGCTCTGTTCGGCATTTGAGGCAGCCTCTTTTTGTAGTTCTGCACGACTCCGTCCTGCTGACTGCCGCGGCCCCAGGACCGAGGACGCTTTGCTTGACGATTTTCCGAGTAGTGCTGGCCGAAGAGACATATGTTGCACCAGTTCTTGAGAGTCCAGCTACAGATGCTGCCTGGATAACCACCTCCTACCATGGAGGAGCTGTACGTACTGCGAGCCGCAGATATGGTTGATGCACCTTTGCCAACACTCTTGCGTCGTGCTGCTGAGATCTGGCTCAGAACCTTGACGTGGTGTGAACATGTGGGACTGGTGTCCAGCAGGCGGGCCAATGGGCCAAGCAATCTGGCCATAAAAGAAGATGCAACAGGGAAGTTACAGGTATACGATGTGTCCTGCGGGCACTTGAGCCAGACCCTGGGACCAAAATGGCTACGGATCCCCTCCTCCTCCTCCTCTTCCTCATCCTCCTCCTCCTCCTCCGACTCCTGCCTCCGCCTCTTCCTCTTCCTCCTCCTGCCTCCCCCTGCCTCCCCTTCCTCCTCCTCCTCCTCCTCCTCCTCCTCCTCCTCCGCCTCCTTCGGCGCCCGAGGCTCGCCAGCGCGAAAGCAGGCGGCTTCCGGGCGCGCACCAAGCCTCCGCAGGTGCAGGAGCACCCGGACCACTCGTCCCAGTCGCTCCTCGGGGGGGGGGGGGAAGGGCGGCCGAGGGGGGTCAGGCAGATCGGCTTGCGAGGCGGGGATACATCCGCATCCACCGCGGGTAGAACCGACGCCCTGGGACCCCACTTGAATCCCCGAGGGGACTGCCAAGGGCATAGATGATGAGTGGGTTGGGAGTGCCCTGCGTGGCTTATGGGGGCCGCTACATCCTCTAACTGGGCTGAACCCACAAAGCCCAGATCCTCACCCGCAAAGCCACGTAGGGCACTCCACTTGCATGCTATGCTTGGCAACTTTCGCATCCACGTATAGCACCCGATCCACTTAGCAACCACCGCGGTGGTCCAAGAAGGAAGAAAGAAGGAAGATCGGCGTGCGAGGCGGGGATGTGCACCGTATCCACTGTGGGCCTCCTTCTCGAATAGGCGTTTTGCCCCCGTCGTTCAAACTTGCGCTCTCGCCCCACCGTGGGCCATATTTCTCGATTCCCACAGGCCTCTCAGGTCCCACAAGTCTCGTAAGTCCCACAGGTCTCGCGGGTCTTGCAGGTCGTCCCAAGGGTTCCACAGGTCTCGCAGGTCGTCCCACTGGTCCCACAGGTAACACAGGAGTCGCAGGTCTAGCATGTCCCACAGGTCCGACAGGTCCCGCAGGTTCCACAGGTCCAAGTTGTCGCAAGTCTCACAGAATTCCCCCAAGTCCCACAGATCTCGCAGTTCCCGCCAGCCCCACACGTCCCACAGGTCTCGCCGCTCTCGCAAGTCCCAGTTTCCATTAGTCCCATAAGTCCTACAAGTCCTAAATGTCCCACAGGTGTCGCAGGTCTCAGGCCCCATGGACGACAGAGGCCCCGCAGGTCCCACAGGTCCACAATTGCCACCTGCACCGCAGGTCCCGCATGTCCCACACGCCACAGAAATCCCACAGGTCCCACAAGTCCCACAGATGGCACAAGTCCCACAGCTCGCACCTGCCCCGCAGGTCCCACAGGTCAATTATTCTGCTATTAGGGCGCCTTGCTGGGGTAATTCAGTTCCAGGTCGACTATGAGACGCATCCGCGGATAGAGACAACTCAGCCAATGGAAAGGAATGAGGGGAAGCGATAAGACATCCGATGTGGCGCGAGCGCACCTAGCTTGCCTCTCTCCTCTCCCTGTTCCTCTATATCCTCTCTCCTCTCTCCTCCCTTCCCTCATGTATCCTCGTTTCTCTCTTCCACTTCCTCCTCATCCTCCTCGTCCTCCGTCTCCTCCACCTCCTCATCCTCCTCTTCCTCCTACTCCCTCCTCCTCATCATCAGCAGCAGCATCAGCATCAGCATCGTCGTCATCATCATCATCATCATCATCATCATCATCATATCATCATCATCATCATCATCATCATCAGCATCAGCATCATCATCATGATCATCATCATCAGCAGCATCATCATCATCATCATCGTCATCATCATCATCATCATCATCATCATCATCATCATCATCATCATCATCATCATCATCATCATCATCATCATAATCATCGTCGTCATCATCATCATCCTCATCATCATCAGCATCATCATCATCATAATCGTCATCATCATCATCATCATCATCACCGTCGTCGTCATCATCATCAGCAGCAGCACAATCATCACCACCAGCAGCATCAGCATCATCATACTCGTCATCATGTTCATCATCATGTTCGTCATCACCATCATCATCACCACAACCATCATCACCATCACACTCACCATCAGCATCGTTATCATCACAATCACCAGCATCGGCATCCTCATCTTCATCCACATCATCATCCACCTCCCCATCCACATCCTCATCCTCGTCATTATCCTGATACTCATCAGTATAATCATTCGCATCCTCATCTTCATCCTCATCATCGGCATCAACATCATCAGCATCAGCATCAACATCACCATCCTCATCCTCATCCTCATCAACATCATCATGATCCTGCCGGATAAGTAACGACAGCGCACACCTGTTGCCACGAACGTGCTAGCAGGCCTCCTCCTCCTCCACCTCCTCCTCCTCCTCTCAAGTGCCGGGTGCCGCACGAGTTTGTCGAGCCTATCGCCGCATGAGCTGGAAGTGCACCGTTGCGGCCAGCGCCCGAGCCCTCCTCCACCTCCACCTCCTCCACTTCCTCCTCCTTTTTCTCCTCCCTCTCCTCCCTCCTCCCTCCTCCTCCTCCTCCTCCTCCTCCACCTCCTCCTCCTCCTCCTCCTCCTCCTCCTCCTCCTCCTCCTCCTCCTCCTCCCTCCTCCTCCTCCTCCTCCTCCCTCCTCCTCCTCCTCCTCCTCCTCCTCCCTCCTCCTCCTCCTCCTCCTCCTCTCCTCCTCCTCCTCCTCCTCCTCCTCCTCCTCCTCCTCCTCCTCCTCCTCCTCCTCCTCCTCCTCCTCCTCCTCCTCTCCTCCCTCCTCCTCCTCCTCCTCCTCCTCCTCCTCCTCCTCCTCCTCCTCCTCCTCCTCCTCCTCCTCCTCCTCCTCCTCCTCCTCCTCCTCCCTCCTCCTCCTCCTCCTCCTCCTCCTCCTCCTCCTCCTCCTCCTCCTCCTCCTTCTCCCTCCTCCTCCTCCTCCTCCACCTCCTCCTCCTCCTCCTTCTCCTCCTCAACCTCCTCCTCCTCCTCCTCCTCCTCCTCCTCCTCCTCCTCCTCCTCCTCCACGGTGCGAGAGGGCGATCCACTTGCAGTCGGTGGCGTTGCAGCCCGCGGTGGAGCACGGGGCCACCTGCGCCGCCGAGGGGAACCCCGTGACCGGAGAGAGGGTCTCTTCCTCCTCCTCCTACTCCTCCTCCTCCCCCTCATCCTCTTCGTCCTCCTTCTCGTCCTCCTCCTCCTCCCCCCCTCCAACTGATGGTGGTGGTGGTGGTGGTGGTGGAAAACAGGCTCATCAAAGAAGGGAGGAAGGAGCACACGTCGCCAAGATACACCGGTCTGGAGGAGGCTATCAGTTATCAAGCGCCGCGGGCGTTTGTAGAGGCCTCTCGGTTGGGGTCCGAGCAGATGGCGTCGGAGGGTCGCGTCGCATCGCCGGCGATGCATCGGCGCCGTCGGCGCATTGAGCCGCATCACAGATGCATCGGCGACTCTGCGCGATCATCCGGTACCTCCTACTCTCACCCCGTCTGGGATGCCTAGAGTTTCACAGCGCGAAGCGATTTATCCTCATCCGAGGCTGGTCTGAGGATGGTGGTTTTCACTGCAGCCGAGGGGGAAGGACTGAAGGGCACAGAGGGGACTGCCTGTCAAAGAAAGAAGGCGATATCGCCCGAGAGCCAGTCCTCGGGCGGCAATCCTCCCTTGGATTTGCTGGGGTGAAGGAGCAGGGAAGAGGGAGGAGGAGAAGGAGGAGGAGGACGATTCAGGACGATTCAGGATGAAGTCAGCATGAGTATAGGACAGGCGAAGCCGAACGAATTGGCAAGAAGCAGAAACTTCACTGTGGCTTCTGCACGTCCAATTTGAGACGGAGTCCCTGAGACTTCGCATTACGGACGGCGCGAGGGGGTCTCGACGGGTG